TTCTGAGAGGATGAGCAATCTCCTAATCCACTTTCCATCAGTATCCTGCTCTGCAGCTGTGTTGGTCATAGGGCTGAAAGGCATCTGAATGTCACTGGTAGAGGTGACGTGTCAGGTGCAATCTTTTGTACAGCCTTTGGCAAATGTGGTGGTGGGTCAAAGGTCTAAAGCTCTGGTAAAAAGGACATAGCAAAGATAAACAGTCTTAAATAAAATGCTCTAACTCAGATTTTGTGGATGGGCTCATCCTCATCCTTTAGGATTAGGTTTTTTCTTGCTCTGTTTATTCCTTTGTTTTTCAGCTGGCTTTGCTGTGGGTTTTCAGGAACATTATTTCTGTTTAGGAGGTATGAAATAAGCAATTAAAATCCTTAGTTCTGTAATTTGCCATGTCTTGGCAAAGCCTGCCAGTGTCCCCACTGAAGGCATTGCTGGCTCTCCAGTGCAGATGCAGCTGGCAGGGACAGGGCTCTTGGGTGGGAACATAAAGCTATTAATGCTGGTGAACTTAAAACTTTGAATTAACTCTTCTTAAAGTTGAATTTACTTTTCAGACTTCTCTGAAGGTGCCCTAGTAGCCCCAAGGGTGCCATTAGCCCATGGGGCTGGAAGTTCTCCAGGGCATGGATCATTTCATCCCCCAGATCTGGTGTGTGTCTTCCCAAAGGCTCTGACCCACGGGCAGCTCGAGGAGCTGTGCAGCACATGCACTGAGTAACTGCAATAAGTTACATGAAAGTAGGAAATACGAAGAGAGATCTCATTTTTGTTGGTTTTTATTTTTGATAGTGTTCAGAATAACAGAAGTTATTTTTCTCAAGCTGTCAAGAAAAAAATATTGTGTTGAAGCAGAGACTGAGCTTAAGGCAACTCGGGTGGAGCCGGAGCTTTCAGCAGTTCCCCATGTGCAAACACCTACTGGGGCTCTTGGCTCTGCCTGCCCCTGTTCCAGCCAGGTTTTGTCCAGGAGCTGGGCATGCCCAAGCAGAGGAGGATGGGACACTGCACAGCAGGAGCTGTTGGGAAGAGATGGGGGATCTGGCCAAAGCACTGCTCCATCACCAGGCAGTCTGTGGTACCTGGGAGCAGAATGTCAGTATTTCTGCTTTCATGCCTCTGTTCGAGGAGGCACCAAAAGCTGTGAACTCACCACTGAGCAGTGTGTTCTGCACTTCTGCAGCAGCCAACAAACACTGAATAAGGTTCAGCTGAGGCTGGGCCTCCAGGGATTAGTTTCACTGTGGGAACAGAGAGACCCAAAACTTCTGTCATAATAGCAAAAGGAAAGAAAGTGATGTGAGCACAAATGCTTGCATGATTTTGTATTTTGGAAAGTACAAAGGATCTGGAAACCTGCCAAGGAAAAGGGTTAAGCTCGGTTTTGCATCTTTCTTTTAGGCAAGTGGGCAGTGTGCATGGAAACCTGCTTGGAAGCACACTTCAGATGGAAATGGCACCACCACTACTTGGCAGTGGCTGATCTTGTCTCTGTAACACGCTGCAGTCATAGCCAGGCACTGCTTCATGGCAGGATGGCAAACACAGCCCTGATTTTGTGCAGCCCCAAGTGTGAGAGGGATGGGGAGAGCGAGCACCAGGAGTGCCCTGAGCCCCCCTGAGCTCCCTGGTGGCAGCTCTGCCCCAGCACAGGCCTGGCTGAGGTCAGATGCTGTTGTCTGTCTGAATGTGAAACATCTGAATGAGTACTGCGTTAACAACTGGCACGTCAGCAGCCCATTTGGAATCTCAAGGGACAGCACAGCCTTTGGAGCTGATGCAGTGTATGGTGGGGGAGCACAGGGACATGCTGGAACGTGGTTGTAGCTGTTAATAACAATGTGGTTTGCTGGAACCTGAGGGGTTTATTAAAAGCTGTTCTGTTTCACATTTTGTCTACCTGTATCTATATTTTGCTAAAAAAGTGACATGTGAAATGTAGATTTGGATACTTCAAAACTACCTAGTCCCAAAAGCATTGACTGAGATGTGAATGCCTCAATTTCATCACTCTTCAGGATACCTCCCTGAACGCAGACACTGGAGATATAATTTCTTACTTCGACCACTGCCAAATGATGAATACTTAACAATGCATGTGTCTAAACAGACATCAATATTTTTCCAGCCATGTTTTATAGCTGTTATTCTTGAGACTGATCATAGAGGGAAAGGTGTGCCAAAACTCCAAAAAACATAAGAGACTTCGGAGTTTGAAATAACTCTATGACTACCTGCCCCTTCCCCTGTCCATTTCCCCACCTGTACTCTTGTCCATCCTTGGCCTGGCCAGCCAGAGGGCAGCAGCCTCTTGGATGGCAGAGAAAGAAGCACCTTCCTTGGTGCTAGAAGACTGAGTCTTAGTGCTCTGCTTTTGAACAGAGAGATGAAGAGCTCGATGAGGAAGGATAAACTCACCAGGAGAGTCAGAGTACCCAGCAATGCCCAGGAACAGTCTGCTCCAGGTGAAAGGAGCTGCAGTGTCAGCAGGGATGCAGTGGCCATGCCCTGCTCTGAGTGGGACCTAGCAAGAAGTCAGATCCTCCAGATTGGCATCAGCAAAATCACAGATGGAATTGTATTTTCTGAAATCTTTGAAGGAGAGTACAGCTCTGCCAGCAGAGTGAATGCAGTCAGAGCCAGCACAGCAGCAGTGGGGCTGGGACACCATTTTATTCTTTCTCAGTTTTTAATAATTCTGGGCTTTAGCACTCCCACTTATTATTGCAGTGGCTGACAGGGGACCTACGGGAAAATCCAGTCTTATTGAAATTGAAAAGGTCAGTTTTGTTGAGCATTTCCATGGTGAAAATAGGGAGTTACATGTATTCAGACTTCTCAGGCTACTCAGCTCCATGGTCGGACTGACCAACTGGAAGAATTTCCTGCAAGCTATTGTAATAGTATCTCATTGCACAGCTTTTGTTGTGGGGTGGGTTTGAGGTTTTTGTCAGAAAAACAAAAATTGCTGGCCAAATTCTTCAGCCTTTGAGTGCTGTTCATGGCCAGACTGCTGCCAGGAATCCTGTGACAGGCTCTGAAGGCAATGGGAAGGCAGTTTTTCAGTATTTCCATTTCTGCCTCACCTGGGACTTCTGCTGACTGTCCTTTTAAAGGGTGTTTGGTGCAAACATTCCTTCATTTGTCTCTGGCAAGTGTCACCTGTGACTGCTGTTTCCCCCTGATGTCAATGAGGTCTTTGCTCTCTGTGGGTTAGTCCATAACAGGATGCATTTTGTTAGGGCCCAGATTGATTTTGGTTAATTGCTCAGGCAGTGTGATTTCTCTGTCATTCCCTGAACATTGGATGGCATTCACAGCTCCTGCCTCAAGAGATACAGGCCCCCTTCTATGAGGTGCTGCTACACCTTGAAAGGTTCTTTTTCCTGTCTGCAAACTTGCAGGAATCCCTGCTCCAGCAAAGGCACACTGGAGCTGAAGAAGCTTTTCTCTGTCCAGTAACTCCTTGGCTGGAGCAGTAACACATTTCTTGTTCAGTCATTGTAAGTAAATGCCCAGTCTGGCTCTATGAATTTTCAAATAATTCATCAGTCTCTTATGCTTTCTTTATTTCTTCTTCCTTCTGCTTGTTACTTAGGTGCCATTAATTCATTTCCCCCCACAATTTTCATAAAGCTCTCTCAGTAGCCAGGTATGGTGGCACCTCCTACAGGGTTTCTTACCTTTTGTGGTGTAGGCTGTCATTGTGTAACTCCTTCAATGATCACATGGAAGGGGGTCCTATCACCTTCCCTGGCTGTTTTGTAGACATCATCATACGTGTGAATTATCAAAAAGGTGTAGAGAAGCCATTGCACTGGGAAGGGAGTGCTCTCCTTCACACCAGGCTACGAGCCCTGCCCCAGTGTCTGACACCATGGATTCAGTGTGATTCTGCCAAAGCCCTTGAGTGTCTTGTGCTGGATTTCAGCTCAAAGACTCTGTGACAGCACAGAGGATGGGCTGGTGTCATTGGTGGCTGTCCCCATGGGAAGCTTGGGCAGCAGTGGGGCAGTGTGAGACTGCTGAGTCCCACTAGCCCACTCCCCTGGGTGAGGAGCAAGGGGAGATGTCAGTGAGAGACTCCCTGCAAAGACCAGGAATGAAATTATTTTATTTTAGAACTTTTTGCGTGGATGTTTGTACCTTGAGATAATCCCTGAGCAGGTGAGGCTCTGCTTGGCTGTGCTCTGAGCCCTGCTCATACTTGTGGATTTTGGATGCTGCCACACTGGCCTGTGCAGTTTGTACAGGCAGCAGACTCTTGAGAGGCAATTGTCATGGCAATGGGAGACCTGCCTGGATTTTATAACCTTGGATCCATGCCCTTCACTCCCTGCTACCCCTGACTCTATCACAGCTTCTCCTTCTGCTCTGGCACTGCTCTCCCCTGTGCCAATTAAGTAGCTTTTCCCTTGGTATACTAAGAAGCTGGGAATAGCTGAATTTTGTATTTTACTTGCAAGACACAACTATATGTAAATTGAGTGAATTAGCTTTAGTTGGGTTTTTTCTTTCTTTTTTTTCCTTTCTTTCTTATTTTTCTTTCTTTTTGCCCACAGTAGACTGCAATATGTGTACCATGGTAATCCTTGTATAATATCCTCAGAGTTTTTATAGCTCCCAGTTCTCCTACACCCTCGTAGCTGCCAGTTTCTCAGTGCAGTACCATACACCACGTAGCAGTGTGTAGCTGCTGGGAGGCTGGGCAGTGCTCCTGGTCTCAGCTCCATCCCACCCTCCACCACAGCTGCTGCTCCAGGCAGAGTCCTCTCTCAGGAGGTTTTCCCCACACTGCACATGCTTTTAACAGCCTGGCCTAATGGTTTTTAGCCATTCCAGCTGATTTCAGAGGGTTCTTCAGCCTTTACATGTAAGAGCTGTTTCATTTTGCATTCAATGTAACATAGACTGAAGACTGAAGACCTGGAAAAGAAATAGATTGCAAACTGTGGTTACTTTTACTTTGGTTTGTACACACATGCACATTCTTGCTTACTTACAAGGGTTAGCTGTTTATTTCTCAGGCCAGGCAATTTTGCTATTAAAATCTGCAGAAGTTTTTGTTTCCAAAAACTGATGAGCTCCCACAAGTTGGTGTGCATGACTGTTCTCCATTTCCCAGGGGTGGAAGTTTAAATGCAGTCAGCAAACCTGGAAGAGGCCAAACTTCCTTAACATCAGTTTTTCAGTGAATATGGTGAAAAAGGAAAAGGCAAAGGGAAAAAAGGAAGGAAGGAAGGAAGGAAGGAAGTAAGGAAGGAAGGAAGGAAGGAAGGAAGGAAGGAAGGAAGGAAGGAAGGAAGGGAGTGAGGAAGGACAAGCTCAGAAATGTATGCTCACAGAAAGATGGCACAGCCCAGTACAGGGAGTGAAGGATAGAAATGATCCCCATTGTGAGGGTAGAGGTGAGAGGAGCAGGGACATTGAGGAAGTCAGGATGAAGCAAGGAATCTCTGGCAGAGCTGGAGCTCACTGCAGAGTCCCAGCACACCAGTGCCTTATCTGGAAGACCATTCTTTTCCCCTTGTTAATAGTGAATATGATCTTTCAAATAAGATTTTATGTTTGTTTACATTTAATAGCTCATCCTTCAGGAAGGACTCAATCCTGCTTGGTACTTACATCAGTTTGGGTTGATTTAGATCTGTTGGGAGCTAAGGATGCTCCTCTTTTCCTAAGCCAAGCCCTTCAAGAAGCTGCTGCTATTGACAGATTACCATTTATAGCTCTTTATTGCTTACTGTAGGTTTATTGCAAACTCCTTTCCTGCTTAGTTTTCCTTCCCTCTCTCAGAGCAAACATAATGTACAGCCTATGTAAATATAAGGCATTAAGCAATTACTGGGTTATTTCAGATGCAGCACTAATAATATATCATTTCTGGAAGCACAGCTTCCCACGTCGTCTGGTACAGTACTCACTGAAAGGGAGCTCAGCCATTACTGCTGTATCCCTGAGTTATTACTCACCCACCCCAGGAAACAAAGGGGAGTCCCAGAGGTTAATGTGGTTAGTAAAGCAATTTGAGGAAGATGAGCTTGAATCTGCTTACACAGTGCACAGAGGATATTTAAACAGCAGACTCACATCTCCTGCTCTGCAGCTCCTGCATCTCTGCCGTGCTTCTGCCAGGCTGCTGCTGGAATGAAGAGCAGCACCTCTGAGAATCTGCTGTGTCTGAGATCCCCCAGGCAAACTGCCTGGCACCAGTTTTAACAGGCTCCATGTGGGTTCTTGCTGAAAACGAAGAAACCTGAGTCTGCTTCTGTCCTGCTCAGCCCTGGGATGCAGCCTGGAGTGGCCTGGTCAGTGCCAGGTGAGGGAGGAGGGCAGCAGTGCCCGGGGATGAGGGGCAGCTGCCAGCTGAGCACCCAGCCTGCTTCCCTCTGCAACGCACACCCTCTCTTGGAGGGTGGTAAATTTTTTAGCAAGTGCCAAAGGCACATTGGTTGGGCAGGCTCAGCAAAGTTTGTGCTGCCTGCGTTGTGCCTGTTCAGTGGGTAAACAGCAGAATGGATCTCCAGAGCTGTCAATCCCGCGCCTCCACTGGCACTGCAGTGCCTAAAAAAGATGGTTTTTAGAGAAAGGTACACATGCACTGTGCTTCCTTGGAACACACGGTTGAAAAAAAGCTAGGATGTGCTCAAAAGCCTCTCTGTAGTCTTCTTTTCTCCACCTAAAAAAAGCACCTTCTGAACTTCTAAAGTTCATTTGGTAAAATATTGAAATGACTGCGTTGTGTCTCCCCACTGGAGGAGGCTCCAAGTGACTCGGGACACTCACTCCCCTCTGAGCTCTGCCAATGCCCGTGCCCTGTGCTGGTATTTCTGCTTTAATAGTTTTTGTTTTGGATGGGAGCGTGGCTGTTCCAGCTCCCTGCCGAGCCCGCAGAGCCCTCCCTGCCCGTGCCAGCCCCACACGGCAGCGCTGGTTCTTCCTTTAGCACTGAAAAATGAGCTTTTCCTGATGGGTTTTTGGCTGGCCTTTTCCAGGCATTTGGCTCACAGCTGAGCTAGCTGCCGTGGCAGTAATGGGGCTGCCTGTGATCCTGATAAGGGGTCAGTTTGCTGATGGATTATCTTGCCCTTTCCTTTTGCACTTGGGATATGAAGAACTTGCTTATGTTTTCTTAAAATATCTGATCCATAATTCCAGTTTGGGAGCCATGGTGTATGGGTGTGCTTAGATATGGAGGTGTGGTAAGACAGAGAGACAAATCACAGTAATGGGCTGAGCTTTTTATCTTTGAGTCTTATAAAACTTGGATACTACAGGGCAGATCTTTGGTGCAGTGTCCAGATTTAATTTGTATTTGTGTAGGAATAAGCAGTGCTCACTTATCTCTGCAGCATTTGCCAATTACATAAACCACATTTATAATTATGATTCATTTATTTAGATTTTCTCTTGTGGGATTTCCACAAGCACAGAGAATTAGAGAGAATTAAAATAATGTGTCTAGATTACTAGCAAGGCATTATTTCAGGCTCTGACTGTATATCATTCCCATTTGATTCAGTGTGTGAGTGCAATGGCCATAGTGTAATTCTTTATGGACATAATAAAAATCTCCCAAGATGAACATTAATTGACAGCCTGTTTGGATGACCTGATTATAACCTGCAGCAGGACCAGGGCAGGTTTTGTTTCTGGGGAAAATAACTAAACTTGAGGCACCATGAGCAATTCCCCACTAGCGATCTCATAACGTGCTTGTCTTGGGAACATACAGAGATTTCCAGTGCTGGGCTTGTGCCTTTGTTAAATTCAGAATTTCGGTGCATTGAAGCAGAAGTGATCAATAGTTTTACACATCTTTCTCTCTTTTTGATGTGCAGGATATGCTGAGCAGGGCTGAAAGACACAGCTGCTATTCATTCCTTTGGGAAACACTGACCTGCTTTGCTAAAATGATTTTCTTTTTGGAAGAAAATTTTTGATTTCTTGTAGAAGCCTTAGAAGATGGAAAAAAATATTTTTAGTTCAGAACTGGAGAAAATCAAAATGTTTTCAACATTTCCTTAAAAAGCTGACTGCTTCAGTAGGAAAACCCCCTACATTCTGCCATTCCCTGTTCTGTGGTCGGTTCCTTGAACATCCTGCACAAAAATCCCCCAACACATTCATAAAAGAAAATTAGAAGGAAAAATTTCAAGCAGCCTTGATATCTACAAAGGGAATTTTTATCAGCTCACAGTTTCCAGAGGAAAATCTCATTCCTGCAGAAGCAGTAACCCAGACCTATCCCTTGTAATGAGATGAATTGGCGTGGCCTGGGCAGGGCGGGGGATGCTGGTGGCACTGCAGATGGCACAGAGCCTTTCCCACGCCCTGCAAAGCACCTTTATTTACTGCCCTTAAATGACTTGCCCCAGTGCAAAGCTCCCCTCTGCACTTAGCCAAAGCTCACAGCGAGTTGCAGGAATTCCAGTGGGGTAACTGAGAACGTCAGGGCTGAGCCTTGTGCCAGGACACCAGGATTAAGCACCACTCCTGATGGTTTGTAACAAGCCTGGAGAGGAGACATCCTTCTAATTTGCTGCTCTTCCAAGGGTGGCAGAACCACTGGGCTGCACCTGTGGGCTACTGGGGCCACTAAATGGTTCATTATTCTGTAGACAGCACACATGGAAAAATGGGAGGCTTGGAGAGTTCCTGGAAAGAAGAGTCCCAGCCAGGTGCCCACATCTTTGGGTCTGATTTCTGCTGGGAGTTAGGCAGGAAAGGAGCCTGCTTTGTCCATGCTGGCAGTCAGACACTTTCCAGGGAACATTTTAATGAAATAGATAAAGTCTCCTTTTTGGGGGAAAGTTGATTCATTGACATTTTCTGACAGAACATGTTCTGTCACTAAATCCCTACTGAATTAGAGGGCTGGTTCTGGCCTCTGTGCTTCAGGCTTATGTTTGGATATCAGATAGTGAATTTTTACCAGTGTGAGCAATTTCCTAAAAATCACTTGAGCATTCTGGCAGTTTGTAAGATGGGGAAAAAAAAAATTAAAATTGCTTAGGGGCAAATTTTCTGTGTGCTGTACAGGGAATTTTAACACATAACTTCAGCTAGGTGGGTAACCCACTAGGCTGGAAATTTACTTCTACATACCTTGGGATTATAAATCAGGGTGTTTCTTTGTGTCAGCCTTGGGGTTTTTGCCTTTTTTAGATCTCAACTTTGTAACTAAGTGGAAGCAGATGAAGTTTGTGGGAAATTTGCACTGCTCCTTAAATCAAACAGGGCTGAAATAGCTCAGGAAGGCTTCAGTGAGTCAGCAATGCTGGCCTTTCCTAAAAATCCTATGCTAATCAAATGTAATGGGTGTGCTGGGAGCTGAATGCATTTCAAATGGGAATTAGACCTATGTAATGAAGATAGTGTGGCATAATTAAGGCACTTCATAACTGAGATTGACAGATTTGCATGATAGCCTGACTTTCAAGGCATCTGCCACATTTCTCCCCAGTTACCTTAAGAAACTTTCCAACAATTTGGGACAGAGGAGTGAGGAAGGTAGGCCTTTGACACAGTGGTTTAGGTAGGGCAGTGCTGTGATTTGATGTTGACCATCTGGTGGTGCCTGGTGTTGAACAGGACACTGGGCTCTGAACTGCACTGTGGACCAGAAGATTATTTTAGCACCTAATGCTTTTTCTCTTTAGAAACTTTTGATTGCCTGAGGAAAGATCAAGAGCAATCTAATCCAAATGAAACCCATGATCCCCACATGCTGGAGATGTGAAGGGTCTTGTGATCCAACTCCAGCTGAGGTTGCTCATGGAGACACTGGTGGAACCATGTGCAGGGCTGCCTCCCTTTGTGCTGCTCCAGCCCTGGGTGCATCTTCCAGGGGGAGTAAAAACATCTGAAGGCTGCTCTGAGTGTCTCTGGTGAATGGCAGCCTCCAGAAGAGCACCACAAAGGACAGCAGGGCCTAGGAATGGGGACCATGGACTTGGGAGGGGACACTGCAAAATTTGGCACATGAAGAAAAGCTGAGAGAAAATGTAGGTACTATGCTACCAAGATTAGGAGGAGTTAAATCCTGCCAGCAAAATACTCTTAATTAGAGCTGACTGTAAGATCTGACATATTTTAGAGGTTTTGATAGCGACTGAGACATGGATAATTTGGGGTGAGAGCTTTTGTTGACTTTGACTTCCAGACTGCTCTTAGGAGCAGTAGCAAACTTGTGGGATGCCTTATGTAGTTCTAAATGTTTACATAGTTTATATAGAGTTTTGAAAGTTATCAGGTTTCCAAAAATTTTTCCATCTTTTTATGTTTTCTCCTCTTCATCATATCTTAACTTGAATACAGAAGCTGTAATAACATAAAAATTTCCTTAGCTCTTACACCACCCTAATCTGACAAAACAAATAGATCCACATTATTACACTCAAGATATAAGGTAAACCCAAAACCCCCAATTAGCCTTTCTCACTGTTAAATTGACATGGGAGGGATGAAGATAATACTAAAAAAAATTATTTGTTTTAAAACCCTTGTGTAAGCTGGAGAAGTTGTTCCTAGACAGCACTTGCAGAATTCAATGCCAATGTCAAAAGAATCTCTGCACAGAAAATTGTGCAAGAACAGAGAAGCAGAACAAAACATTACCAGCAGATCTCTGTAAAATGCATGTTTCACTTCGAAACAGCTGCTGCAATAATTTTCTTCTGATTTTGACCTTTGTGAATTTAACATTACAAAGCTGTAGCTGTACCTTTGGATCCAGGTGAACACAAAAACCTAAAAATAAACCTAATTTGTTCCAAGACAGAAAGCTGAGGTCTGAGTAACTTCAATGTGCAATTACAGGTGTGCTCAGGTTCACTTGACTAGTTCTTGTAGAGAATCAGTTGAGAACACTCGCAGTGTTAATTTAAAGCTAGTAGCAGAACTTGCCAAAAGACAAATCAGGCAGGATCCTGCAGCTTTATATTGCTCCAGAAGACTTCTTCCAATGGAGTACTTTTCTCCTCCTGCTCATTCATTAATTCTGCAGTGCTGTGCCTACTGTCAGAATGAGATGTGGGGGTTTGTCAATGGATATCATTATGGCTATAAGCCATGGAAAGCAGGGTGGTTGTGAAAGATGGATAAAAAAACCAAAACCCCCAATTCCAATAAAGATTTGTAGGGACAGTATGTTTTTATTGCAGCACTGGACCATGTGGGGACTCATTGCCCTTCAATGGACATGGGCACCCCTGAGAACACCTGATCCTTTTTTATTACCCTTAACTAATTTCCATATGCATAGAATTTCACAATTGGCTCATGCATATTCATTCTGCTGATTTCATGTTACACGTACAGCTAGTTACACTTGTACTCCGTTTTTGTCAGAAAGTACAGAAAGAACTCCTGGGTCACTCTGCGCTGTTTCAAGATCTGAGGAGTCTTT